AAGATGGCCGCCAAACATGTGAATTTTCTGCCCTTTAGAGTCATTTTTCTCCCAGAAGAAGTGCGGGTTGGTAAAAATTATGTAGGGGAATTATGGTCGGACAGGTTTGATGAGTATCAGAAGGTAAAGTAATCTTCAAAACGTGCTCCGCATCAGGTAGGACCCCAGCTGCCCGACCAAATTACGCGTCTTGGCTCAAAGTGTCCAAACAAATGTATATCCACACTCTGGGCAGTTTCTACCGGGAGTGAAAAAAATTAAAAATTCGAAAAACAAAATGGTCGCCATACACATTTCGGGGACCTGTGCCTCGGTAACTATTGGAGATAGGTAGATCGTGCTCAAACTAATATCGTAGAGGGCGACAGGATCTAACTGGCTGTCGAAATTATTTTTTCAAAATGGCCGATTCAAGATGGCGGCCCGACAAAAAGATACTCCGATCCGGCTGAAATTTTATACGTTTTCATGTTTCGTAATAAGAATATGCGATCAAATTTTTGATTCAGCCATTTTCTAACATGGTAACAATAATATGCTTTAAGGCCCACATCTTGGCGAGTGTTGGAGAGGCGCTCAAACAAATGTCGTACAGAATAGTACGAGTTAACTGCAAGTAAAAGAAAATTTCATGATGGCGTACTCTAAACGGCGTCCCGAAATAAAAGTGCTTTGATTCGACTGAAATTTGAAAACCGATCGTGTATGGAGGTTCATAGTATGTATCTGCGAGCGAAATTTGGATCCCGCCATTTTCCAAGATGGCCACCATACCAGTGAATTTTCGGTTTTTTTACCAGCATTTTTCTCCCAGAAGAAGAGCGGGTATATAAGAGTAATGTATGCGAATAATGGTTGGGTTGATTTGGTGAGTATCAGAAAGTACCAAAACCTTCGAAAAGTGCCCCGCATCAGGTAGGACCCCAGCTGCACGAGCGAAATATACGTTTTAGCCCTATCCACACAAATGTTGCTCTACACCTTGGGCAGTTTCTACCGGGAGTAAAAAAAAAACAAAATTCGCAAAACAATGGCAGCGATTCCCACTCAAAGTAAAACAAAAAGAATTCTCTACTGAAGTATGAAGTTCAACTCCCAATTTGTCACGAGGTACAAAGAAAGCCCTCGCGGGCCGCTTTAGCGGCCCGGCGCATCGCGCGGCATCTAGTTTAAATATAAAACTAAAACTTAAAGAGACTACAAATCTACATATAGCGAACGGCTAAGGAGTAAAATTCCCTGCCTGCAGTCTTGTTCCCTGGACGCTGTAACTTGAGCCTTTTCAAGGCGGGAGTGAATAGGCATTATTTAGGTGTGCATACTATATCGTCGACTTCATCGTCACTTCTATCAGGTGAGATGGAAATCAAATGCGCACGTGTTTTTTAACATAATATAAAATCTGGAGAGTTTTAAGCACTTTGTTGTACTGATTCAGAAGGAGCAGGGTTGCGGGATTCAAAGACATTCAGTCATTTAATTTTTCTGCTTGAGTCTTCACTATACGCATGTTTTATTTCTTAATCGTTTTTGTATGTATGTTACGCGATAACTGGATTCCTTTTTTGTTGGAAAGAGGGTACCTCACTATTGATCCCACTTAAATTTAAAATTGAAGAGAATATTCCACCTCTAAGGGAAACTAGGGGATGAATTCGGCGTCACGCACTTTCCGGTAACCAATTTCAACAAAACTTGGCAATCTGAGATTCTGAGAGGCACCTCCATGGCGCCAGTCGCCCTGAGACATAAGTTGACAAGTCCCATGTGCCTATGATTTCACCAGCACTCTTACCCTTAAAAACCGGCGCACTAAGCTCACATTACTGCTTGGCGGCAGAAATAGGTAAGGTGGCAGTACTTCCCTGGACGAACCTTTTCACAAGGAGCTCTACTAAAGCCATATTCATATTAGCCATTAATAACTCTGACGCTGAGTGTTGCGTCTAAATATGGTTGATAATTAGAATTATTTCTCAACCAGGCACATTACGAAACAAGACCTTCAATTAAAGTTATCCTATTTGTAAACATTTTTATTAATTAAATAAATTGTTCATAGATTTTTATCGTTATTTTTAATTGTAACACAATTTGGCTTGGGCACTTTAATTTTCATAATAACTTTTAATTTTTATTTTATTTTATTTAACTCGGAAAAACAACAGCTATTAATAACTATTTACATTGAATGTTTTTAGGTGGAACTAGTTAGCGCCTATTACAGTTGTTCACATTTTCGTATTCAAATATCTAACTTATGGTAAAAGAAAAAAACAAACACAAAAGTACCTGCAATAATAAGCATAGCAAAAAAGGTAAAGCGATATGAAGTGTGTAATCCTGACCTACAAAAAAGAGTGTATTAAAAAAATGTAAGTACTGGAAGTTCGTCTTATACGCCTTCTCTTTCTAGTTTAGTTAGGTTTGCACCTGGGTGAAAAAGTGCTGAGTTCGATTCCTGCTAGAACCAATTCGAGAAATGAACTGGTTCTGATGCAGGTGCTCCGGGTAGTAAACAGGAGTGAATGGCGTTACTCTGCTACTCATAGCACCTAATATAAAACTATCAGGGAATTCCCTGAGAACTTGAGACTAGGTATTGACGTGGTAATCTGGCACATGATTACCATTATGTTGATAGGAAAAATATCACAGACTCTTTCAATTGAACCTAGGCTATATTCTCTTCTAGTAATTGGAATCATTGCAATTCAACGGTATAAAGAAAATATTGCATCTTTTGCAGACTTAGTCACTTACGAAAATCCAAAAGTCCAAACTAGGGGTCTGTCAACGAGCAATGGAGCGCTACATACTTGTAAGGTGTGAAACGGACCGACCAAATTCGGAACACGACAATGCGCTGCCAAACTCAGATTGCTGGTGTAGGCCAAATAGCTGCGAAACTGAAATGGAGTGTTGGGCTGGACCGAGGAAGCGATGGCGTGACGAACTGGACGCCAACGATAAAGCTTGGGTACAGTTAGCTCAGGATAAGGATGCGTGACCCCGTGACTCTGCACGGTGCTGGAGATTCGTCGTCGAGACGTTCTCCGGTACCACAGTGGGAGGAGGAGCATCGTGAGGTTTTTAGTGGGTATGCTCTTGGGGACCAACATAGTCCCCAGGAGAGAGTCCCACATATCCCCGCCGTCTCCCAGCGGTGGGGAATGCGTAACGCATTTTCCTCACGATAAAAAAAAAAAAAAAAGGATAAGGATGCGTGGAGGGATCAGGGGGAGGTCTTTGCCCAGCAGTGATGTAGAGGCTAATTGTAATTGTATTGCTGGTATGACCAAGAACGTCCTGCCGAGAAATGGACAGAGGACATCGATAAAGACGTGGACCGTAGAGTCTCATCCACAAGCGTAAGATCGTGGTAGATTGTAAACTACAGGGTGCCTATACCCAGCATTGAGTATAGCAACGGTTAGCTTCACAACGAACGCACTTACTTAACCTACCTTTCTATTCCGCTTTTGCAAATGATAGATTAACTAATCATACTGAATCAACAACAAATTTCTTTAATCATTATTTTCATCTACACTTGACATGAAAACGAATAGTCCAAAACGTATGCAAATAATTTAGAAAGGCAATCAATAAATAATTAACAAAATACATCGACTATTATTCTGCTATCAATCATCCGCGAATCTGTCTCAATGGTGAGGAAAGAGGTCCAGTGGCTGCTAATCCGACAACATAACCGACAGTCGTTTAGTCGTCTATCATGCACCCGTTTAGCGCTTTCGAAACTGGTCTGTAGAATAGTAGATAACTAAAAATTACTTTTTTAATATATTGATTGCGCATTACGATCAAAAGATCTAGAAGAATTAGAAAAATATAGAAATTGTAAACATCACAATTTCTATATATTCGAATGACAAACATAAGAAAATTTCCAGAAGTTAAGATACACCCATTGTTTGTGAGTTTCACAATTAATATGGTTTGTTGGACAAAAATTAGTGCCAATGGTAACGCCATAAGTAATCGAAATGAAGGTAGTCGTCGACAGCGAAAGGGGGTAAATAGATATGTCTATAAACTGTCATCTACCACTAGCCAATCAACCCGTGACTATGGAGCACGTAACCGATGTGAAATATCGGGAGAGTAAAAAGAAATCATACCGTGGTAGAAACTTGTAATTAGTGATAATCTTTAAGACATTCCTATCGCAAAATAAACAAGCAGATTTCAACAATTCTAATTTGAAAGATGTAATTAAAAACGATATGGTCCATTTTAGATAGGATCGCCGCCTGGCTAATGCAAAAAATTACGCCTGTACCATCGACATCATTACTAAAAATCGGTACAAATAAACTTATCACCATATCGCTTGAACGATAAACAGACCTACGTTCTCACGGTGATCGTAAAGAGCGTTTGTCGGCGAATGATAAACAAAATATGAGCCTGTCCAACTTACCAGGCACGTCCGCTAGTGAAAGTGGAAACTATAGTTAAAATTATTCTCCCGAAAATGCATGAATAACTATGTAGACGTAATATTAATCACATTACGCTTGACAATTTGATCTTATCGGATATTTACGATCTTACCAACATGGTTACACATGTAGCAGTCATAAGTGCTGAACAGGTTCTCGGTTTCCAAAGTGAAACATGTAATGGAACCGATCAATGGAAAAAATATGAAGTTAATTTTGTTATTGGGTAAAGAGGCCAATAAAATGTTACCGATAGCAAAATTGTATCGAAGATAAAAGATAACGTGTTTCGAATATGTCTAATTATAGTATCGATTCTTCATAACAACACGTAATAACGTTTAAATACGTTTTTGAATAATATATCATTGATGCATCAAATCAGGAAATGTATACCATTTACAACAATAATTTTCTATGCAATAAAACTTTAATCGCTTATCTACAATGTTACATTCCAAGTCGGGTAGTTAAGAAATCGTGACGATTTTAAGTCTCGGTTATATTTTTAATTAACTTAAAAAGACTCACCTTGCACAAAGCCACGCCCGTGTCAAGTCTGTCGAGGAAGTTATCGGCGTTGATCCTGAGCTCAGGGTATAGGACCGTCAGCCACTCGGCGAGATCCTCTTTCATCGCGTACAGGTACTCCTCCGAGGATTTGAACGGCCGGAAGGGCCGAGCCTCCAGTAACACTGCACCGGTGCTTGCCATAGTGCTGTTTTCGATGCTTTATGTGGACATTACTGGCTCTGAAACAAGTGCAAAATGGTTATTAACACAATTATTTACAAGTAACACATTTATTTGGCGTTACAGGATTTCATATTTCGTCTACTGATTTAGTCATTTTACCGCCCAGTCGTCATCTTCCTTTATTGTTAATTTCGCGAAGAAAATTTCTTATAATTATCACAGAATAATAGAGCAATTTTATACATTTGTATATTTAACAATGACTACATCCAAGACAATCGCATCTCAGTATGTAAGCACGAGTTATCTATTTACAGAGCGAATGAGCAGTTATAAGAATCAAATACTATAGCACAAAGAATTGAAATCATCTAGCAAAAATACTGTATCACAATGGAATGCAAAAAAAAATGTTGATGGATTTCACCCTTGTGTTGCAATAATGTGCAATAATGTTACAAAAGTCTAAAAGCAAGAATATATCGCGCATTCAACTGTATTATTAACCAACAATCCTGCTAAAACCCATCACTGAAACATTTTGCCAAATTTAGATGACAGATTTTTAAAAACTTTTAGCATGCATCACTTGAAGATAAAATTAACGAAGACCCTTAGTGAGTTTGAGAAACAAACGTTTAGCAATTATATTTCTGACCGTCACCAAGGCAGTCAAGTCACTGAAAATAAAAGGAGAAGAGATTTTTCAAGATATGTCGCAAAGGCTCATCTTACGCCAAACACGGCCAGAAAATTTCTTAGCTAAGTAGTAAGTGTGCAACAGTAAAAGGGTATTGAAATGGGTCGTTTCCCCGGTCGCGGTCGGTGGCGCACGGCGTCTAACCACCATGACGATACTCTAATTGATGTCGCCGCTACACGCCCTCGCCGCTCCTCATTAGCTCAAACGCAAGCATAACTGTACACCAACTCAGTCGAAGCCATTAATTAACAGCTATGTTGACTTAAATGTGAAGTTTCTTGCAAATGTGTTCAGTTCAAAAAATAGTTCTCCTTTAGTTTAGTAACAGTAGAGCACCTTGTGAAAGCACCTATTTCTGCCGCCAAGCAGGAATGTCAGCATTACTGTGTTTACGGTTCAGCATTACGGTTTTGAAGGTTAAGGGTGCTGGTGAAATTACAGGCACACGGGACTTGTCAACTTGGTTGATGGGCGCAGTGGCAGTACCCCTCGGATCTTTGCGATTTAAGGCTCTGATTGGCACTGCAACTGTTATGGACAGGCGTGTAGCTTATCATCAGGCGCACGACTTGTTCGTCCCGTCACTTGATGTTATATAAAAAAAAATTAATATTTAATTTTCTCCTATGACATCAAATTATTCAAAAGACAATGGCTGTGTTTGTTACGGATGTCAACAAGTTGTTGTCAATTCTGTTTTCCAAGAATCATAATGACGATTATCAGAATGAAAATCGAACAAAAAAGTATTCAAACATAATTAGTCACTAATTCGACGCATTGATGTATTGAAGCCTAAAACTCGATTAGATTAATGTAATGGCAATGAACGATCGTGACATTGAAGATATATAAATGCTCATTTATTAATCAATGATATTTAAAACAACCACTAACCAATTTTCCATACATTACTGCCACAATAATACTATTGTTGAATGCTGACTCGAGTAAACATTTTCATGTCATTTCTTTTGTATCACTTACCGATCAGTGCTCAATGTAATGGGCAGACAATCACAACGTAATTGGACCAAATGATGCATGAGATATGTATAAATGTATATTGATATCATGAACGATCAAGGCACGAGTATTACGCTCTGTTAAGTCTATGGATTTTGAATCTTCTTGTGGTGATGAAAAGACAGATAACTTAGCAAAAAACAGAATACTACATATCCCAAGCACACCGCTAAGTTTATCTTTAATAAAAATTATAAATACTTTTAGCGAAGTTTCCAAAAGGCTAAAAGTAGATCAAGAATCCTAAAAAAATGTTCAAAAAAGACGATAGATGCAAAAGTAACCGCTCTTGCATTTATAGACGTTTGTGAAACATTGCAGTTTATGAAAGTATAATTTTTAATATGTCCACACAGAATATCATTCACTTGAAACTTGGAACGCAACAAGCGTTTGTATGAGTCAAAAGAATTACAGAAATGGTTAACCATGTCCGTAAAGATAATTAAGTTGTCGAATAAACACAGTCTAGTCTGGACGTAAAGCCGCAGTCATCTGCAAACAATTTAGACTAAGTCAACCTCCGTTCAAACACGACTAGGCAAACTTTGAAGATACGTGGGCTGACAGGTGGATTCAAGCAAATAATCCTGGATAAGCGGCTGTTGAACTCGCGAGTTTGAGAAACTTTTAATAGGGATTTTGTTTATCGCCATTATGAAACTTGACATCATTTGAGCACATAGATAAAGCACAAATTTATAAGTTTTGGTTATGAAGTCATTACCATAAAAGAACAAGTTTTTTTGTAGAAAAATCGATTCCAAAGGAGAAACCAACACTTAACTAAATCCAAGAGCCCTAAAAAAGGAAGTTTAACTACCATTTAAAGAAGAAATATAAAAAAATAGAAATGGTACAAACCCGTTTTACAAAGCAAATTAATTTATACGATCTAGATAAAGAAGTTGGAAGTGTCAATACCAACACTTGCATGAAGCATGCAATTCACAGCAAAATAAGGTTATCAGAATGCCCTTAAATGAAATAGCGCTTGAGCTGACGCATCCCACCAAGGATTCCAAGGAAATGCGTTGGATATATTTATTTTAGGATGACCGAGTGTTCATCCAAATTCCAAACGTCGCATACGTTTAAATGGAATTCCCTCATGGACGTACTTTAATGGGAGGTGCCGTGTGACAAATCATTTTTCTAGACGCACTAATTGCAATTAACAACTTGATTGTAGCAATAAAAATCAAGGTCACAAACAAAGCATTTGAGATGATAACCCAGGTAATGAAGAAATATTCTTGACTTTGATTGACATGATGAAAACAAACGGTTACTCTGATTTGTGTTATGTGACCTGGGACAATTATCAAAACAGAAACACAGAGGCAACAATACAGGATCACTACAGCACACAAAAGACAATTCTATGATATATACCTTAAGGTAACAATTTATGAATAGAACGGGCAACAAAGAGACGGAGAGAGTTCATAATAAATAACAGTCATGTACACAAAATTGAAGTGGACGACAACACAAAAGGAAATCTGGGAAGATGCATAATTTATCGCTGTTCCTGACCTGCGCTCCCGTGTGTGGTCTTACGATAAATCTTACAATGGTAGCGCACGCGCAAGCACAGCTACGGTCAGCAGACAAGACAATGGATCCACGCTTGCGTAATGACACGCTCCGATGACTTCCGTTGTCGTTCTGATGTACCGACAGCAAACAAACTCTCTTAAGTGTTTGCTTTCGTGTTTGACCTACCATTATGTCTATTTGTTTGATGAGTAATCTTTAAGTTTTTTTTTGTAACGGCGAATGCACTCGACATACTTTAGATTTCTTTCGACGTTAGCCAAGATTTTGTATTATCTTTTATATTAATTGTCTCTTATCCGCTCACGCGATACGTGCAGCCGTAGACGCATACCACACCTAGAGGTGCCGGTGATGATTTAATACCGATTTATCGGATATCGAAGTTATAACAGGTAAAAGAACTAATATTAATTGCTATTTCGGTAACTACTCTAGCAAACCCATAAAGTTTTTAAAGCCTGGGTCTGTCATTTAAAAAAAATAAACAACTTCAAAAATACGTCACGACAATCGTGTGTGTTATTGTTTGGGCTGGTGATTTCGGTATTTAGTTATTGAAAACATGCCGTAAGTAGCGTTTTTTAAGTTTACCCTGAATATAAATGTTTATAAACTATACTTTAAGGAGTAATTTCATGGTAAACGTTAGAACCACTCAAACGGAATATTATCATATTTATCCAAGTACACCAAAAATTTCATTAGTGCTTTTTAAGTGCACGATTTGCGGTGTATTACTGCATTTTATTTGAGATGTTTTTGTTGGTAGTACGGAGGGTATTTATTTAGCAATGCAGAATAATAATTTTTATTTATAAAAACTTGTATTTAAACTGAATGCTTTTCTAATTTGCGAAACCAAATAGCCGCCATTTTGCGGTAGGAGGAGTGCATCGCGTGAGCGGCTAAACAATTTAGAAAGATTTATAATCTATTATTACTTGTACAATTACGATAAGTATTCCAATGCAATTAACGAAATTCGACATATTATAGAAATTAAAATAAGACATATTTTTTATTTCTCGAATCGAAATAAAATAAATGTCTGTATTCAACACATATCTCACGTTGAAATAAAAACCGTCACTAAACGAAAAATAACCAAAATTTTAACTTATCCACTAGTTAAGTTTTCGCGAAAGTTACACATTAGAAATGGAGCAATCGAGAATATTTCTCCTTACAAACATATCAACGGGCCTTCACAGGTCCCATCCTCAGGCAGACTGAGACGATAAAGTCATCAACCAGCCCTGTTGAACTTATTTTCAGAAAATTTTTAATTAATATCCTGGAAGTTGGGTTTTTCGTTTAGTGACGGTATTATTTTCAACGTAGTCGCAGTAGAACTCATTGTGCAAGAATTCGTCCAGGGAAGTACTGCCACTTTACCTATTTCTGCCGCCAAGCAGTAATGTGACCATTACCATGTTCCGGTTTTGAAGGATATGAGTGCTGGTGAAATTACAGACACATGGGACTTGTCAACGAGCTGACGAGCGCAGTGCTAGTGCCCCCTCTTTGTGATTTAGAACACTGTGTGGCACTGTACCTGTCGCTTAGTATGATAAAAAGTATGTGTAGAAATAAATACTTTAATACGTGGATGAAAAGGACAGCCCCCGCTTATTTGTTAGCCTCCGTTTATATTAACCGAATGACAGACTTTGCTATAACTATATCATATCTTATATAACGTTTTAACCCTAATTTATTGACCCCGTTGCAACGTGCAACTAAACAGTATGCATTCGTGTAGAC